GGTTGTTTTCAGGTTGCTGCCACAGAGAGGAAAAGTCTCCAAGCAGAGTCCAGCGATTCCGAGGTAGAAAATGAAGCGAAAGGCGACTTGTTGCCCAGAAAGCCGGCCTGGGTGGATGAGGATGATGAAGCCGAGGAAAAGTGAGTCCGGGTTTGCAGGTGGGAGCTATGTATCAAACTTGTAAACTTAACTTGAGTGTAAGTGGCTGTGGTTTGAATGATCTTTGTGTTCTCTGTGTGTTTCCTCCCCCCTCTAGTGTTGACATGACCCATAAATACAGGAAGGATTTCATGAAAAGCGATGCTGAGAAGACACTTACTAAGAAAAAACTAAAAAGAAGACTTGAGGAACAGTGAGTTTCGTTATTGTTTTTGTGGCTGACTTTATTGAGGTGAGATCATTGATCTCATGAATGCAGATAAATATCTCCAAGGTGGGTGTCAGAGGATGGTGCCAGACTCTTGTGTGGTGCTCAGTGACAGGACAGGGAGCAATGGCCATAAACCAAAACACAAGAAGTTCCACCTCAGCATGAGGAAGAACTTGTTTCCATGGAGGGTGGCAGAGCACTGGAACAGCTGCCCAGGGAGGGTGTGGAGTCTCCTACTCTGGAGACATTCCAAACCCACCCAGACATGTTCCTGTGTCACCTGCTCCAGGTGACCTTGCCCTGGCAGGGAGTTGGACTTGGTGATCTCCAGAAGTCCCTTCCAACCTGAACTATTCTGGGATTCTATGAGATAAAATACATTTATGTGACGTTTATGTAAATGTGCATTAGCATTGCCTCGACTAATTTGTTTAATACTTGTTTTATTGGAACTGCACAAATGAATTTGTGTTCTAGGGAGTTACACTAGAAACTGTGAAATCTTAAAAAATCTAAAAAACTTGCATAGTGTTCTAAGCATGACTATTCCTGTAAAATTGTGATGGTGTATCTTCTAAGTGCTTAACTCATAGAGGGAAATTACTTTCTCACGAAAGTTTTTTTTTTTCTCTCTTCCCCCTTCTCTTTCAAGGTTTCAGCAAGCCATGGGAGGAGTTCCTGCCTGGGCTAATTTAGAAAACAGGAAGAAATCCAAAAGGACTTCAAGTGATAGTAAATAATTCTATTCCTATTCTAATAAGTGCTTCTGTGATTCTTTGTTCAGCTTCTTAGAAAATAATTATTTCTGATGTTTTCTCTATGTAGTGTGATAATATGGTGGATAAGTCACCTTTATTCCTTCCTTCAGTGTGCTTTGGTTTAATTTGTTTTTGTAAGGCATTTGTAGGTTTTGATGTGGATATTTGTGCAATTGACTGTTTCCATGTGCTGTGGTTTCATGAGGTGAGAGTGATGAAGATGATGATCTTCTACGCAGGACTGGCAATTTCATAACGAGCTCAGAGTCCCTGCCAAGAGGGATTTTGAAGGTAAGGATAAGCCTTATCTTTCCACTTCAGTTTGACCCCCACTTTGATTGTTGTTGCTGTGTAAAATTAGTGATTACGTGAATTTCTTGTTTCTGTAACTGGAAGCTCTAAAGGGTAAGCCTTGGACAAATTGAGTATTTCATGTGAAAGGATGAAGCAATAAATTGAGGTGTATTTTTTGAAATAAGGATTTTTAGGTACTCTGAAGTAGGATCTTGTAGTAGCATTTTAATTTTGGATTTATATTTTAATGTAGGATTTTAATTTAATAGGGAGATTGGAATTCTCCCACAGCTTTAAGGTACTGGCGTGGTCTTTGAGAAGTGACAGCCTTAAGCGAGTGTTTCTTCTACTGTCTCTTCTACAGCTGTTTCAGATGGGTCAGAATGCAGCTGGATTTACACAGAGGGATAATTTCAAAGGCAGTAGAAAGGCTGGTGGGTTCAGCCTGTGTTTGCATCACTGCATTGGAGCAACTCCCTTTGTGCTCTGCTTGTGTCAGGCTTCCTAAAAGTTCATCATAGGGATTGAGGTCTTGCTCTTGTAGCATAAAGTGTAATTAAATTGGCTTTTCATCAGCATTAAGTGTTTGGATTTTTTTTTTAGCCTGTTTGGTCTGTGTTTTAGATGAGCACCTGCCTGCCTGCAAACCAGGAACGCTTTGCCGATGGAAAGCTGGTGACGGTGCAGTTCCATCCTTCAGCCCAGGTGGTCATGACTGCGGGACACGATCGGTCTGTGTCGCTCTTCCAGGTGAAGAATTCCAGCCTGTTCTGTGCAAATGGGCACTAATACAGAACCCTTTTTTTTTTTTTTAATAGCCTGGACTGACAGACTTTGTTTTCCCTCTTCCTGTGCTCACAGGGTTGTAATGTCTGTGGTTAAGATGGGAATTCTTTGGTTAAAGGCACCTTAGAAGACATTTCCATCTGTGACTGCATGTCAAGCATGTACAGTGTACAGGCAAACTTAGTTGTCTTAGAGTTTTTGGTTGAAAATTTGTTTTTAAAAACATTTGGGTTTAAGGTTTGCAGTGATCTGGACTAATGAGGTTTTCTGTTTATAAGCCTATAATGTGGGGAGCAGTCCACTTTCATTTAAAACTCTAATATTGCTGTGAAATCATGTTGGGAATGGAGAGGCTGGACTGCAGCAGGAAGAGGCTCATCCTGTTCCTGTTCCTCTGAAAACTAAGATCATAACTCTCTTTAGGAAGTTTCAGCATGGCCCAGGATCAGTGGAATGGTCAGGCACAAGTGGAATTTGATAGTCCCAGAAGGCTGCAGGAAAAAAAAAAGAACAATTCAAAGCAAATGTTTCCATTTAGAAAAACCACCACAGTAGTGATGATTTGAACAAAGCTTGGGCAAGACAGGGAAGGGCAAGTGGTGTGAAGTGTATCCAGGAAGGCTGGGAATGCCTGTTATATAGGGTGAGGAGCCAAGAGCCAGGTTATTTGTGGAAGAGAGGAAGAGTTTAATGCTTCAGGGTGGTTTGTCTCTTGCTTGTACTGGGTACTTGATATATTTTTTCTGTTTAAAAGTATTTGGTATGTTCCTCAGTATGATAACCTGGTTTGTTATTTTCTTTTTTGAAGGTGGATGGTATAAGGAATCCAAAAATACAGAGCATCTATTTAGAGAGTTTTCCAATTTATAAGGCTCGTTTCAGTGTTGATGGAGAACAAGTTATAGCCACTGGTACTCACCACAGCATGTTCTTTGTGTATGACATGATGGCTGGAAATATTATTCCTATACCCAAAGTCCGAGGTAGGTTTCTCAGTGCTGTAAGTGCCTGGGTGTAGTTGAAACTGTCCCAAATAGAGATGGCACATGAATTTGCTTTAAAAGGAAAAATGCAGTGAATTGTTGGAGGTTATATTTTTAACTTGTCTTCAGGGAACAAGTCCCTTTAGTTTTAGGGTTTCTGGGGTACTAAACATTAATTGTCACACATAAGCAAGGTTGAGTTTAGCTTTGCTGTGACAGTGAATTACAGCAGTGAAAAGCTGAAGTGGAGTCAGGTCTTACTCATTCATCACACCTCTGAATGTTGAGGCAAAAGAATAAACTGTGCCTATTTCAAGTTTTGAATCTCTTTTTAAAGGTGTGGAGGAAAGATTTCTCAGAAACTTCGAGCTCTCTCCAGATGGATCATTTATGCTGCTAATTGGAACCTCAGGTTACCTTCACTTGCTGTCCATGAAGGTAATTTCTCCTCATGGTTCGTGTAGCTTCACTTTCTTGGTACCTTTTCCCTTTTGAATCTGCTTATATTCCATCTGCAAAGCAATCTAGCTTTCAGTTGAAACAAAGGCATGACACATACTGTGACAGCCTTCAAAAATGTGCTGCTGACTCAACTCACTGCAGCTTTAGAGAATTATTTTGGGGCGTCTGAGAATTCATTCTGCTCTGCAGCTCTCTGGGGCTGCTGGGCGTCAGGGCAGAGTTGGGAAAAAGTCGTGTGTCAGTGTTGAACTTCAGCTTTGTGCTGGCAAAAGGAATGGCCTCAGCATGGAAACAGGCATGCATGGAAACAGGCATCACCCTCTCTGGGGGTGGGAGAAATATAGGACTGCTTTTTTGAGAGTCGTGCTAGTGCATGCTGCTGTACTGTGCTCGTGAATCATGCCAGATACTGTGATTCATAATGCACAGTGAGTTTTTGCAGTTGAATTTTAAAATGCCATACGATGGCAGCTGGTTTTGTTTTAAACTCTTACAAGGGTAGAGTTTAAAGAAGAAAGTTCAGTTCTGTTGTATAACTCACACCCTGCAGCGAGGGAGCAAATGAGTGTTTGTTGGACCAGCTGTTGTTGGACTCAGGAGCTTGTGCTCTGGTCTGCAGGCACTGAAAATGTTGATGCTGTTCTTTGAATGTCAGGGTAGCTAAATAAAGATTTTTATGGGACAAGAAACAACTTTCCTACAAATTTCTGGTAGAATCACTATTGTTCTTCATCCTACAGACAAAGGAACTGATCAGCACTATGAAGGTAAATGGAAGATGCACTGCATCTGCTTTCACTCCAGACAGCAGTAAAATATACAACTATTCAAGTGAGTATTCCAACAGCACTAATCCTAATTCCCTTTAAATTGCATCAGTCTTTAGAAGTCACTTAGTGTTTTACAAAGATAGTTAAAACCTTTGTCAGTATCTGTCCTAAAATTACAACCAAAAGATAAATAATGAAAGAATGGAGTTAACTATTTTAGTATGCCTTTAGTTGTTCTGTTTTTTAAAAAATTGATAATGGTGATACATTTGATATTTTAAATGAGCTCTTAGTTGTCATCTAATGAAATGTATTTCAACAAAATAGACAGTGTTGTGTATAAATGGTTTCTGTAATCTACTTGTTTCTGCAACCAGAGGAAGGTGAAGTTTTCATTTGGGATGTGAGAAGCAGGAAGTGTCTACACAAATTTGAAGATGAAGGTTCTTTGGAAGGACAGTGCATTGCTGTTTCAAAGAACAACCAGTATGTGGCATGTGGGTAAGTGACTGTCTGGGGTTTGACAGGTTCTTCTGATCTCATTTTGAAGCTCTTCAGTGAACTTATTGGTGGCTGGTGAGTGTAGGAACGTGATTCTGATAAGCTTAGAGTAGATGTGAGTAGATGAATATTGCCTGTTTTATGATGATAATTTAATTTTTCCTGTATGAATATAAAATACCATAGTACACCTCACACCAGCATCACTGCTATTGTGTTACTGTTGCCATATATGGGCTCACAAATTCTATAATATGGATGTTGATTCAGGGTCTTCCCCCTTTTCTAATTCTCTTTCCTGTCCTCTGAATTTGGCTCCTGCAAGGATGGCACATTAGCCTTTGGAAAGCTGCCTCAGCTCAAAGCCACAAGCTGAAAGTGTTTCTCTAAGTATATTTAATGAAATGCAACTTCAGCCAGTCTATTGATTCTTTTAAATGAAACTAGCAAATAAATACTGAAGAACAGTACCTATTTCCTTAGCCCACTGTGGAAAAGGATTTAAAAGTGAACTTATTCTACAGATATAAAAAACCCCACAATTGAAAGCTTGAAATTATTTCAGAATGTTTTGTTACCAAGCTCTCATTGCTTTAAATTCTGGTAAGAGATGAGCTCATCAAGGCTCTGCACAGTTAAGTGGGTCTCTTCATATATAAATAGAAAAACCTCCTCAAACTAACAAAACTCTAAACCCCTTCACTAAATACTGTTATAAACTCCAAAGGAAAATCAAGCTCCAAACAAAATACTTTTACAAACTCCAGGAGAGAATTGTAAATACATTTTCAGGTGAATGGTGGCTAGAGATAACAAGGTAATATGTACTGAAATGTCGCTTTTTCCTATAATCTTTGTTGTTTCTTTCTTCAGTTCATCTTCAGGGGTTGTAAATTTATATACCACTGATGTTTGTCTCAAGGAAAACCGTCCTAAGCCAGTTAAGGCCATAATGAACCTTGTTACTTCTGCCACCTGTGTGACCTTCAACCCCACCACGGAAATTTTGGCAGTGGCTTCCCGTGATGCTGATGAGGCTGTGAAATTGGTATGTTCAGCTTCTTTTATTGCAAGCTTTTTTTTTAACTTGTTGAAAATACTCCTGGTGACATAATAAAACTGATAATAAGCAGATATGGCTACTGCAAAATGTGCTGGATCAACCAGGTCAGGACATGTACAAGATACTGGAGATTTATAAGGATATAAGTTTATTTTCTCTAGTGAAGTTGTTCTGAAAATAACATCTTATGGTCTAATTTACCTTTTCCATTTTTAAAATGCCCTTTAAAATGCCTGGAACTGTTCAAAGCCAGACTGGATGGGGCCTCTGAGCAATCTGGTCAAGTGGAAGGTGTCCCTGCCCAGTTGGAACCAGATGAACTCAAAGGTTCCTTCCAACCCAAACCGTTCTGTGATTCTATTTCACTGCTGTAAATACAACTCAGCAACAAATGTGAATTTTCAGCAACTGGTAACTGTAACCATCTCACTGTGGGTTTTTTTTTCCCTAGCTCATTCAAAATTTTGCCAGCCATGTCAGAATTCTGGCCAACAGTGGAACTATTGAATTAATCTGAGGGTTTGGAGGCCTGTTTTTATTGCTTACATGTAATTGCTTAAAAAGAAAAGAATGGCAATAACTGGCTTCATAGTGTGTTCCCTGCTTCTTTTCTCCAGTAGAATTCTATATATAGAATCATGTAGGGTAGGAATAGAACTAAACATTTGAGCTTAACATTGACCTTCAATTTTAAATTTGTACTTTAGTTTTATTTTTGGTGGCCTTTTCCTGATTGATGGCTTTTTCCTAATTGTAGCTTCTGACCTATTTCTCAACAGGTGCACATTCCTTCATACACTGTGTTCTCAAACTTCCCGGTGTTCAGAAGAAAACAGATTTATCTTGCTCAGTCTATGGACTTTTCTCCCAGAAGTGGCTATTTCTCTGTAGCAAATAACAAAGGCAAAGCCTTGTTATTTAGGTAGGTACTAAGCTAGGCTCATTAATCCCAGGTAACATGTTTATATTCTGTAATATGGGGCAGATGACAGGTGAGTGATAAGGTTTGACTTTGTGATCTGAATTCAGCTGATGAGTTCATGGAGTGTGGAGCTTGTTTTCCCTTCTGGGGAATGAGCCTTGTTTATTGTCTGATTATAAAATACACATTGTTGTAGATGGCCCTGTCAAAACTGTCATTGCCTTTTTTTCCCCCTGCTGGTGTGGTCAGGAGCAGTGATAACTCTAAGCAGGAATATTTCTTTTTTTAAACTCACAACTTCATGATGCTTGAAAAACTTTTTAGGATGAGATTTTGACAGGGAGAACTTACAGAAAGACTCCTAAGTAAGTTTAAAAATGGAACTAAATCTTGTGATTTGTTCTTAACTCGAACTGCACATTATAAAGGCACTTCAAGTAACTCTAGCATATGAATGGTTGCTGCCTTTAACTACACCTGTGTTTCAGGCTGTCTAAGAATACTCAGTGACACTGTTGAAGAGTTGTTTCTTTGTCTTGCTCACTCAACAGATTACTGAGAAGTTTTAAATCTGTCTCAATGTTTTTTTTTTCTTTAGGCTGAAACATTATTCATCTTTCTGAAAGAAGGTACAGCAGAAAATGGACCAGTAACTGAGGTGAACTGCTGACAACATTGACTTGAGGAACTTTATTTTCATTTTGCTACCTCCACCTCTTTATAGATGGCAGGAAGAAATTTGTAACACTGTGTGATCTGAAACTGGTCTGGATCACTCATGTAGAAGGATGGGCTGGAGTAGGGCTTGCCTTGTCAGTCCTAGCTTTTCTAATAATACAATAGAACAAGTTGATAGTTCAACTAAAATCTGTCAGTGGGACTGAGGAGAAGTTAATTGATAGTGTAATTGATTCTATTTAAATCAATCTCAGCAGTGTTGTAAAACTGATCCTGTTAAGGAGTCCTGTAAGTGAGCCCACAGGAGTCTGCATCACTTCAAATTCAGATTACAAACATCACTGAAGTCTGAAGCCCAAGTTTGTGTGCAGATACGATTTTATTGAACACTTAAACGTCTTCTTGGGAACTGGAAAGACCTGTAGCCTTGGCAGTAATACAGTAGTTCTGTTTGACAAGAAATGTGTTGATGAGGGGAAGCTGAACTTGTTCAGACTGGAAGCAGGTCTGACTGTTGCATGTTAAGCTTACATAGAATTTTGTGATGGTTCAGTGTTTGGAAGATACTAACAAAATTCTCTGTGCTGGTCTTTCCCCAGGTTGTAACCTGCAGATACGAGTATGCTGACAAAATCAAACAAGTCTTATTTATATGGAAGTTACAAAATACTAGTAGAACATCTGTATTTTTGAATGTTGTTTTTTTTTTTTAATAAATATACCTGGTAAGTTTCCAGGCAACTTGTTTCAGCTTTTTCCAATGCTTTGTGTTATGCTCACGACTAAGATTTTATTGCTTGGCACCCAAGCTGGTGATTTGCAGGAATGCTTAAGTGTCTTTAGTTATTATGGGCATGTGAAATATTCCAATGCTGAAGGAGAAAGCAGTAGTTTTGTGTAAACTGGCCTTTGCTCTGTGCTTTTACCATGAGCTTTTCCATCAGCCTGGTTCATTTGAGGCTGGATTGGAAACAGCCTTTTGCTTCCTGGAAGAGCACATTCACCTCAACCCTGTTGATGCAGGAGTTGAAATTCAGCCCAACTTCCTGGGCCAGCCATAGCTTAAAGATGGCCTAAACCAAGAGGTGAAAAAAGCCACCCCATGTTGTGCTTCCTGCCTCCTGTGTCCCAAAAACAACTGCATGTAACATGGGTTTAATTCTTAAGGAAGACCCCAATCATTTTTTTTCTGTGAAAGCAAAGAATTCCGAGTATCACTTGATTTTTTTTAAATAATTTGTGAAATTCTGATGCCATCAGGGTCACCCAGCAGGGACTGTGCTGGAGCTGCTGCTGCTGGTTCTTCGTCTGCTGCCAAATCCTGCACCTCTGATCACTCTCTTCCTGAAGTGGCTGCTTCTTTCTTCTTAAATACGTGAACAAAAAGTTGACTAGGAATCTGCTACAATGCAAACCCTCCTTTGAGAATAAATTGTGACCAATGTGTCTGTCCACTTCACAGCAGGGAGCTTTTTGGGCAGTAACAGCAAGAGCCAAGGTGCCTGAGTAACCAGCAGTGAAGTCATTAAGCCTTCAGTGCAAGTGGCATTGCAGAAAATGCACTCTGAGCGTGAGAAAAGTTATATTCTAGAACCATGTCAAAATTTTTAAATACATGAGCCTGTTGTTGAATTCTTGTCATGCTGTTTTAAAAAGCAAAATGGTGTGTTTTCTGATGTAACGGATTTTTGAAGTCACTTTGCAAATGATTGTAAGATGAGAACTTGAATTCACAAATCTTGGGGAAAGCAGAATAGGCTGTGGAGGTGTTAAATTGAATACAGTGTTTAATCGTATTGCAGTGCTAAACCTAAACTAAAACCCCTGGGATGGAAGAGTAAAATTAAATCAGAAGCACACTTTATTAAAGTTGCTTGCTATAGGATTCTTCTGTTACAAACAAATCTGTCTAAAATCTAGCTGGGTCTGAGACTGTTGAGTTTCAGAAGTCCAGGTGCTGGAAGTGGTTTCTGACTTCACTAGAGGGCAGCCCAGCATTGCTGTTGGGAGATTTGGCTGTTGGATGTTACTGAACAGTTTGTCCCATGACAGTTCTGCTGATGGGAGAGGGTTTGGTTGTGGTAAGTAACATAATTCCCCTTTTCTCATCGTCTCTGTATTTTAACAGGTTTAAGTAGTGTGACTTCATCCACAAAATTACTAAATCATTTTAAATAAAAGATTTCTGAGAAGGTAAATTTTGGAATATGTAACCTGTTACCAGATCTCACTGAAGTACCTGTGATGGGTTTTAAGGCCATTTCATCTACTTGTCCTGAGACTGTTCCACTCCTTGCACAACATGTGCTTCTGTAATTTACCCATTAAAAAAAACAAAATCCCTAATCCAGTGACTCAAAGCCCTTTAGGAAGTCCTTGGCAGATCTGGGATTAGAATTTCGGAACTACTGGGTCCTGGACCTCTTTAGTTTGCTTCAACACAATCAATTCTGCTGGTTTTCCCTGCCCATCCTGCTGACTCCTGGTTGCATGAGGTCCACATTGGATGGGACAAGTGAGTAAATGAAAAAGGTGTCATAAAACTGAGGTGCTGTGTGCTCTTTAAGCACTGCAAATTACTTCAAATAGTGGCAGGAAGGAAGAAGAGATTAAATATTTACTTTTTGCAAGTTCTCTGATGTAAATTGCAAATTTTAAGCTCTACTGAGTTGCTGCAGTACAGGAATGTTAAAGCTTTGTGTTAAGTACCTTAATTCTTGATGTTGCCTTTTTGTCTTCTGGAAAACAAAATTTATTGCCCCATCCAGTGTAACGTAGGGAAGACTTTTGCTCTGAGAAGTAAAGGAAACCTCAAGGTGTTCGTTGTAGTCTATAGTGGGTTTTGAGCAATGGCACTTCCATGAACTGAGCAGGTCTTAAGAGTTGGATGATATGCAAGAAGCTGAAACTGTTACTGGTGTGTCTGGGGATATTTCTTTGGAATGGGATGAATTACTGTTAAGTACACACATTGCTGTACTCTCATTCTGAAAGGCTTGGCTCTTTGTCACTTTGCCATGTGTTAAGAGTACTTGAGCTTCTGACCTATTTAAAACCTCTGTGTTTAATTCCTCTTTTCCTAGGGCTTTTTTTTTTTCCCCCAGCATTTCTAAGCTGAAGTTCTTTTAATGAATTATTTCTCTGCTTTTCCTCTCCTTCCATTCTCCTTGGCAAAATAAATTTTATTGATGTAGCCCATGAAATATTTATCATGGCAGCCTTTCCCCTCCAGGCTGTGATCTTGTCCGATTTTGCAAGCTAAAGAGAATTAGTCTGGTTGGTGCTTAGAAAGGAAACCTCCAAGAACAGAAAACCTGACTAGGTGTTAGAGTAACTCTGGGTATTTAGGAGATTATTGGGTTTGCCACTAAGTCTGTCTTGAATCTGCTGTTTGACCCTGCACCTGTCCAGGAGCTGTGTTTGTGGTGCAGGTTTAGCAAATCCTTAAAGGACTGAATGATTATTTTTTTTTAATCCCGTGTCTCATTCAATATCCAAGATTGCTGCTCTCAAAATCATTTGGGAAGTTACAGTTCTCTAAATCTCTTCCATGTGGAACTGTTTCAACGGCTACATGATTTTCCCAACTGTTTGCTGATCAGACAGCAAATTAGATTCTCTCTGTGGATGTGCTGAACCCATCCAGTGGCTGTGACAGTCACGGCACACCTTGAAAATAAGGTGGTTTTTTTGCCTAAGGATGCTTCTTGAAGCATTTGAAGGCCTTAGGAGGTCCTCTAAATGCCTCGTTTTGCTCTAATTTGTAAGATCTAGAGGGAGGATGCAGTGTTCTTCTGGAGAGTGTCTGAAATCAGTCTGTCCAGGGCTGTCCAGTCCCTCTGGGGTCTCGCAGGTGCCCAAACACCAGCGCTTGCTGTTGCACTGAATCCTGTATTTGTGCTGCATTTCCTTTGGACAAACAATGTGCTGGGCACTTAATGACACTTTGCTGTCTTCGTTTGGATTTCTTCTGTTGAAATGGTGGAACAATTTGATTTTTTTTTTTTTCTATAACAAAGCATCTCTTGAGTACCCAGACATTTTTGTCCCCTGTTGTGTCACAGTGAGATGGCAATTCAGTCAAACCCATTTTGGAACACTAATAGAGGCAGTTGCTCCTGTGTATTTTCTTCCAGTTATTAAAACTATGCAAGTTATACGTCTTATTAAATTGCTCTGAGACCCCTTAACCTGAACGAAATCTTATAAGCTGATCAGACCCTTGGAAGTGGCTGCAATATGATTTGATTTTCATAACAGATATTGAAATTGAGCTGGAGATCTCAGCCTTCATAGTGGTGTATTTTGCACATAAGATTGCCTGCCATAGGAGTCTTCACTCTGTGTGTACAATATCCAAGGTCTTATTATGCTCAAACAGTTGGGAGGAAGAGCTGAAGCAGAGGGAATGTGGTGCAGGAGCCTCTACTTCTGGTTCCTCCCCGTTGCTATTCCCCTGCCTTGTCAGAGGATCAGGGATCTGTAGTTATCCTGGGTTTAGTTTGCATTTTATTGTGTTTTCAGTCAGTTTCTGCTGAATTGAGACTGACTTAAGAAATTAAGCCCAGTAAGATGTTTTAAACATATGTGCATGGAGAGGATTTGGGGGGAGTGAAACTTCAAATTAGGATCTTTGAAGACACATCCATTTTATGAAGACTGAGTTACTTCTCTCTGCAAACCCTGATGCAGTGTAGTGTTCAGCTAAGAATCTGTATCACATACTTAAACACAAGGGTTCTTTTTTCCTCTTTAATCTTTGTTTTAAGCTTTGGATGCATATTTCAAAGTTCTGGAAGAGATAAGGTGTTTGGAATATTGACAGTTCAAAAATAATTGTTCAGAAACTTGCGTAGTCACTCCAAACCTCAGGAACCTGCTGTTCATGAGATTGTTTCAGTTACTTGGTGAAAAACTATTAGCCCTGGTATACTGGGAGGAATTGCATTAAGAATTAAATAATTAAGCCATGTGGGTTTGGTTCTGTTTTTCCCCCCCGTAGCTTCTCTAATGAATGCATTGCAGCAGCAGGAGCTTGTTGTGACTCTCACTGTGTTCCATAGCTGCGTTTTTGTTTCTTGGAGGATGGTGTCCTTCATTTGCACAAACTTGTTACACGTGACAGCAGTCACAGCCATGCCTGTGTGTGCTCCAACAGCCTGGAAGACCCTGCAAACTGCCTTTTTCTGCACACAAGGGGTGAGATTCTGCAGAAACCAGCTCAATTTGTTGAAGAAGCAGTTTCTTCATACGTTGGAAGATATGAACTGGGTTGCAGAAATAAAAATTGTGCCCCCTGTGCACAGATGCCTTGTGTGACTTCAGCAGAATATTGAGTTTTTGCTGCCAAGAGTCATTCATAACAAAATGCAAGTATCTGTTATCCTGTGGGATGGTTGTTACCGCTCTGTCCCAGCTGCATAATGCTTCAGTTCAATGAGAGAAGGCTAGAGGGAATCTCACTGCACTGTGAGATGAAGTGATTGTAATTTGGAAATGAATGGGAAGGTCTTTGATACCAGGAAATTCAAGGTTACATTTAACTGAGGACACCCAAGAGGTGGTTGGTTACATATCATAGAAAGATGACACGGGCTCCACCAATGTGAGGCAAATTTGTGCACGTTAATTTTATATGTAGCAACCACTAGTGCTCATAAAAATATTTATGTCTGTATTAACAGAAACTGGTCTTTCATCTGCATAAATTTGTCTAGCAGAGTCAGGCCCCCAAGCTGCTTGTAATAACT